TAGCACTACTAGCCCCACATTTTTTTTCTCAAGTTGGTACATCTGCCAAGGATCATTCTGTCAATTAATTCTTAGTTTAGAAGCTATCTGAAGTTGACGTTTCAGATGAAAAAATTGAATATCGCGGAATGATTAGATCCTTTGTTTTGAAAGGTTTAAAAGCAAAGGAAATTTATGAACAATTGTTAGAAGTGTATAAGGAGTCCTCACTTTCAAAACGCAGCGTTGAATTTTGGGCTGGTGAATTTAGACATGATCGTACTAGGCTTGAAGACGATTCTCGCGAAAGACGACCACAGCAGAAATCATTGAGCAAGTTCATAACATTGTTAGTGAAGATTCCAAGAACGAGTACTTCATATTTTTCGTGGAGAATTGCATAATAAAAAGCTGTTTGGAAAGTTAGTGTCGCTTATGTTAACAATTCAACAAAAACTGGATCGGAAACACATTTCTCAGCATACTTTGGAGCGTTTTAAGCAGAATAAAACCGATTTCTTGCGTCGTTTCATAACTATGGTTGATACTTGGATCCACCACCATAATCTTAAATTGAAACAATAACGTTTACAGTGGACTGAAGCTGGTTGTTCAGCTCCAAAGCAGGTGAAGTCATAACGATCAGCAAAGAAGGTTATGGCATCAGTTTTTTAGGATGAAAAAGGGATTTTGTTGATTGATTATCTGCAGAATGGTAAAACAATCAACTCTGAATATTATTGCGGCCTTTCGGATCAGCTGGATAAAAAAATTCGTGAGGAAAGACCTGGTTTGCAGCACAAAAAATCTTTCTCCATAAGTCAATGAACCTGCTCACAAAGGTATTTTAACAATGACAAAATTCAACGAATTGCTGAGCATCCACCATATTCACAAGATTTGTCTCCCAGCGACTACTACCTCTTCAGAAACCTGAAAGAATGCCTTCGTGGAAAGCGTTTTTCGTCGAATGAAGAAGATATTACAGCCGTAGACGGGTATTTTGCAGAGTTTCCCAAAAGTCATTATAGAGATGGCATAAAATTATTGCAGGATCATTTGGAATATTATTGAAGTTAAAGGAGATTATATTTGAAAAAAAAAATATGTTTCGTACCAAAAACAGTATATTTTCATTTCGAGCACCGAAACTTTTCAACCAACCAACCAACATATGGTACTTATGTTTGTGTATGTTTTCATTATTCTTCAAGCATGTGTATAATTAATTACTTCCAAAGATGCATTTATGATTTTACAGTACATCTCTTTAGTCTTAACAGTATATGATATTTTTTTTTAATTCGAAAATCCAATTAAAAAAGTATGAAAAACCCAAGGTGATCTTATAATCTTAATGGCTTGTTTAAAGGTAGTTTAATCCGGTCGAGTTCATAGACTATACCAGTGATAAAATTTGGCCCAGATAAACTGTATTTCAGTTTTTGAATACAAATCTTTATTATCGCCTTCAAAATAGGCTCCTGAGCCATTGCAAGTATGCCAATGCCAATTTTCCATACACTTGTTATAAACCTCGGCTGGGATGGCCATCAGTGTCTAAAGCGAATTTTGGTTTTTGCGGTTTCGACTCATTTTTGTAGCGCCATTCGCTAGATTGTACCACAGTTTCGACGTCATATTTATAAACCCAAGTCTCCTTACATGTAATAATGTGTTTGAATAATGTAGCGTCCTGAGCTACGTTGTTAAGCATCTCTTTTGCGACCTTTACTCGACGTCGTTTTTGCTAAAGATTCAGGTATTTTGGTACGAGTCTACCATTACACCCGTCATACCCAAAACCAAAATTAACCTCTATTATCTTTCTTATGACAATGCGACGATTTTCAAGCACTGTTTCTTCAAACTTATCGATGTTATCGACATTAACAGACGTGGCAAGTTCTTACTGACTTCACGACCTTCACTAAATCTTTTGTGTTACTCAAATACTTGTGTGTGGAAATTTGTTTGCATTGTTGTAATTAGGCATTTAACAACTCATATTGCATAAGTATATATACATAGATAATATTAGTAATTAATTCACGACTCTTGTTGTCACTACATAACTAAAAAAAAATATGCGATTAGATAAAAATGTATGGCACACCGAGCGTCGCAGATAAAAACGGTACTCTTTTAGTGGCGGAACCAATTGTTATTGTTTTTGGCGTAATAATTATTTTCATCCATGGCTCTTAGTTTGGTTTCGGTGATAAATCATAAGCGGAAACTATTGTGTTTTAACGAGGCAAGTGCCAATTTTTCTTAATGGTAAATTATTATCGTTTGTTTGTTGTATTTAAATTTTATTTAGAGGAAAATTAAATTAAAATCTAGTCTTTTTTGTACATTATTTTGTGAGCTTATATTTTATTCTATTGGATGGTATGACAATTGGTTGGACATTAATAGGTATTGTATATTTCAATTGAAATGCTAATTTGGTGCTTTAAATGACAGGTAATAGTTACGTTCTTTTATCGAGACTGAACTAGCACCTTTTATTAAGATTTTTGTCTATACTCAAGTAGAAAAAGTTACCCACAATTTAATGGTTCTAACTCTAAAAAGTGACGCGGCTGCTACTCAATATTATATAAACATTAATCCAATCGATCTTACAAATTGAATAGCACCACTTTTCTACAGATGACCACATACTTGTATATGCGAATTCTGACGTACGCAGTCTGGCACGTAGCGACGTCCTGTTCGAATAAATTGCCGTTGATGACCATAGCCAAACGTTTGTAGACAAATAATTCGTTTTGCCATGACACCACCGAGCCATCAAAATTTTATTTTCTTAATACTACAACCTTTGCGTGAGCCTCACAAGGATTCGCGTTTGTCATTAAATTATAGTACCATTATGCCATGTCAAGGTAAAAGGTGCTTGTGCCTTTCAACTAATTTTTAACTTGTCGACAGCAAGTACACGAGTCTATACAAATAGAATAATTGTAAAACATCTAACTTAGACCGGCATTCGGCGAATTCAGAGCGAATGGATCACCGATATGTACATACACACATACATACATGCATATCAACCTATGTGGACTAGGTGAGCTCACTTGGTTGAGGGAGGTCCTCGCAGCAAGCACTAAACATGAAATACTTGCACACAAAATAGACACACACACACACACACACACATAGGCATGCGTTAATGTATTCTTAGCACGCTATTGAGATTTAAAAATACATCCAACAATATACATACATACATATGTATGAATATACTACAATAGTACATTTGTCGACTTCGAAAAACGGTATATATAGGAAATATGCGTTGTTCTAAAGTAAAGCCATACATACATACATACATATGTATATGTATGTTAACTTAATTGTAGTGAAACTAAATCGCAAATTGTCGCCACTGCCTTTTTGGTATAGTCCTTCTTCACGCACGCTTTTAACTCGCTACCCATATGTAAGAGTCTTTAGTACACCGTGGTCTTAATGTTGACTTTCATTAAATTTAACTTTTAACATTACCAAACTTGCTTTGAAATTTGGATTTTATTGTTACGGTGTTCCAGGAATTGTGAAATTGTACGTTCGAGAAACGCGATCGAGCCCGATTCTAAATGTAAGAATTTATTTTGTGGACCCTACATTCATAAAACGCATTATTACAGGTAAGGAGACTTGGGTTTATGAATATGACATCGAAACTGTCCAACAACCTAATGAATGGCGCTCCAAAAAGCCGAAACCAAAAAAACTCAATCAAAGTCCAAAATCAAGGTAATGCTCACGGTTTTATTTGATTACCGCGGTGTGGTTCACCATAAAAACAGGATAAATAAAGAATATCACTTAGCCTTTTTGTTGGCAAAAAAGTGACAAAAGTCATCAAATAGGGTATTCGCCAGATTTGGCTCCCTGTGAGCTTTTACTGTTTTCGAAACTGATAATTCCGTTTCGGGGAACGCGCCATGAGTCCATTGAAGCTATTAAAAGGCATACGCCGAAGGCGCCGAAGACCACCCATGCCGAAGCGTATAAAAAAGAGCCTACCTATTTTGGAGACTATGTGTATTTATTTTAAAATTCGTAAAAATGTTTTTTTTGTTTGTAAGACCGGGTCAAATATGATCAGATGCTAAATCGAGACTATTTGGTAGCCGTTTTATGCAAAAGTGAGTGACAGTCGCTATTGGAAAAGTCCATAAAATTTCACTCAAAAATACTAGCCAGATAGCCGAGCTTGCCATTATCTCTTATACGATTAAACACTTTTGAAGCAGGTCATCCATAATAATGACTTTTGAAAAGAACACGGCGGTAGCAAAAATTTGTATACCAACGAAGTACTTGCAAAAGTCACGCTTCTAGCTGGATTTGCTTCCTGTGACCTTTTCCAATTTCAAAATTCAACAAAGTATTCCAAGAAGCGAGTCGATTGAAATCATGAAAGTTGATTTTGTATTATAAATTTGAAATAGATTGTATTATCGAAGAGTTTGTATATTGTTAATTTTAGAGGCAGTAATAGATATTTATATGCAAATCAATGGATATATTTTTAATTAATTTTATTAATCGAGTTTAAATTCAATTATTTATTAAAGAGATTTATAAATAATTTTGAACTCTATACACTCAGAGGTTTACAATACAACAGTATAATTAAAACACTTCCAGATTATGAAATTATATTTTTTTAAACTTTATATAGCAAATTAACTCAATCCAAAATCTAAGTTGTTACGATTAAACAGTTATTTTATATATTCACATTTTGATTTTCAAAATAAATAAATATAAAATATATAAATATTCAACATTCCACTTAACACTGCATCAATGAATATTTATTATAGTTTTCAAATTTTTCCAACTGCACAAGTAACAAGCCTGCACTCACTCCTTAATGTACATATGTTTGTATATAGTATCTCCAAATTACTGAAAATGAAAATCTCTTGCATTTTCGATTTTTCTTCTTATCCAATTTAAAATTGCATACAAAATAAACAAAACCACTATGATGTCAGGATTTGACAGCAAAATGGCAGCGGAAGGTTTGCGTCAATGTCTGCTGCTATGGAGTGTCGACTATTGGAATCTAGAAGGTAAACAAGCGAGCTCTCAGCCAATGAACCAACCAACCAGCCAACCAATCACCATATATCGCTATTGAATTATGAATTAAAGCTTTTGGTTATTTTGATTTTTCCAATTTAAATACTTAATACCGTTACTTATTTACCTTTGTGTGCTTGTGTGTGGTACGTTTTGTGACTTTGCACTTTTATCCCTTTTGTAATGTATTCAGTATTTTTTTTTTCATTTTAATAGTTTTATTGTTTGCATAAATCAATTCTGAAGCTATTGTGTTGTAGTGGTTAGTTATTCTAGTTTCCTTGCCTGACTTCGTTGCAAAAAAGAAAACTAGAAGTAATGAGTTTCTCATGCAAATCGAAAGTAGTGCGTAACAGACGCCCCTCGTTTGAATGCAATGAATGCATGTGTTTTGTTGTTATTATTCACTCGCTTACAAATAAACTTTATTAAAAATAGCTTTTAATTTGTTATAATATTTTTTTTTCTAAATAGTTTTGCAGTTACATATTTATAAATCTATTATAATGAGTATGTTGAGTTGTGAGTTTGAAACAGGCACATTAATAGTATTCGTTATCTTAGTTTATTTATAAAAAATAGCGCATTAAATGCAAAAAAAAAAAACAGTAGTGTAATATTATAATTTTATTTATATTTTTTATTTAATTTTTGTTATTTTTCATTGTTTTATTTTTCATTTTTCTTCAGTTATGGCTGACAGTGCTTTCAAGTCGCGTGACATTGGCTTGCGTGCCCAGAAGAAGATCCTCTCGCGCATGGCCACCAAGAATATAGCGAAAACATTTATTGACGGCACAACCGCATCGCTTCTTGATAATTTATATCGCCTTTGTAAAATGCATGTAAGTGCGCGTTACAATCAACTTTTTCACCAACTTCATACAAACATAGATACTAGTACATATGTGAATAAATAAAATTTATTAATCACAATTTGTGAGAACTTTTTATATTAAGTATCTTTATGCTATAAGTATATACTCGTATATACATACGTACTTCCTCAATAAAAGCTGCCTCTTTTCTTTCACCAACTCTCAATTGTACAATTGTATTCACATTTATATATCTACTTCAATGCAGACGGGCAACAAAGTTAAAGCGGAGAAGCTGATAAAAAATATAATAAAAATTGTTATCAAAATTGGTGTCCTACATCGAAATAATCAATTCAGTGCCGACGAACTAAAGGATGCGGATGTCTTTAAGCGGAAGTTTCAAGTAAGTATAATCAAACAATATATACATATATATATACAAGTGCGAAGTAAATATACATATATGTAATATCTACGAATAAATAATTGCAACAAATATTCGACCTTTTTCGTGGATTAGACCTAAATAAAATACTCTTTAAACTATTAGATATTGTCCTCACAATGACAATGACATCAAAAAATGACAGCTTTTAGAAAAAGTCACATTTTTCACAAAATTTTAGTCGTTTTTAGTCTGCCAAAATTTCGATTTTTCATCACATCAAAAAACTGATCGGACACAGTATGGTGAACTACAAACAAATTGGATAGTGATCGGATCATTTGTCTCTAAGTAATCACCGTAACAACTTCGAAAAATGCTGTTTCGATAAAACACGTTTAGATGTAAACTGATAGAGCAAATTGAACTTAGCGGCGACACTTTAGAAGAATGTAACTCAAAAAATATTTAAAATATTCGTTAAAAATTTTTGTATGGTATTTTTAAAGGCATAAATTATTCAAATATACAAAAAAAGAAAATTTCACAATTCCACACTAGGTATGAACCTAAAAACTTACCAATTACCCAAAAACAATATGTTTTTATATTTTTCATAACTTTCTTAAATAAATAAATAAGCTCATAACTAAAACTAATACTAGTAACTAAATAAAAGCTAACAGTGTTTATTATTGCTTACGGAGCTTTTTACTGTATTGTATTTGTATTACTAACAAAATACTTAAACAATAAAATGCCGCCATACAAATATTAAATAAGTTTGATTTATTTTATTCTAATTATTTCAGAATACACAACTTGCAGTGATTTCCTTCTATGAAGTAGATTACAGCTTCGACCTGCCGTATCTGCAAAAGTCCATTGCTGAATCACATGCCGCCCTCAAGTCAATTGTCCAACGACATCTCACCGATAAGTCACTAAATCGCATCGATGAAGTCTTCGACTTTTTTGGTGATACCTTACTCTTAGAGACCGCCTTCAAACCCAATTCACAATATCGTGAATTAATGGGCAAAATTGTCAGCGATATAAATACTGCCATGGAAACAGGAGACATGTAAGTAAGCGTGCGCCATATGTATGCTCACTAAATTTGTATTAGGGACACATTGACACGCTTACAAACTCATCTCCTCGTTTTGTCTCGTCTCGTCCAAAGGACTGCAAAGTACTTTAAACACGGCAAAAAAGCGAAGAAGTGAACGCAAATGAAAGGCTTAAATGGAATTTAGGTCATTAGTATGGAACAAGAAACCAAAAATAATATATATATAATAATAATAAAATAAATTACAGCACTTTTATCAAATACGCTTGTCTTAAATATTATAAAAAACAAAAAAGCAACACAAAATAAATAATGATGAACGTTACGCTAAATATATTCACGCTAGCAAATAATAGCGGATGTGGCAGACGTTAATGATGTATGTATTGTATGTATTTATTTATGAATTATAATGGCGACGAGTATGTCATTGCCGACAATTGTGTTATGACTCAAAGATTTTTGATGCTATTGATTAAGCATTCTAATGTTAACAGCGTTATTGATAAATTCTATCGATAACAATGATAATAATATTTATTATAAGGTAGTAAATATGAAAGAAGCAAACTAAAAAAGTAATTTTTGAACGATTATTTTTCTATGGTGATATTAAATAAATAAAGAAAAAACTAGCATATAAAATTAAATGAAAACAACAACAAGGAATATGCACAAGTGCTGAACTATTGGAACATATTGAAAAGAAAGCTTATAAACATAACAGAAGACAAATATACAACATGAATAATATTATTTTATTATATTTTATGAAGATTGATTTTAAAAATTTGATAATTTTAAAAGCTTTGATATAAAAAGTGATTAAAAAAAATTACCAAAATGCTGTACAGAATTAAAATATTTTCGCTAAAGTAGTAAAAAATTCCTTAAATTCCAACTCATTTATATAATTATTTTTGTACAATCAGCGAAATACGAAATTCGTCAATTACATTATCAACAATAATGTTTTCATATTACTTTCGTATTGTTTCCGTACCACTCAAATTAAACGAAAATATTATTCATGCGTACAATGGAATTGCTATAACAGTTGGCGTCCTGTTCGTTTATTGATTGTTGTAACAATTGTATTGTTATTATGTAGACTAAGCAGATAAGTTTAAGAAGCTAAAATATATAATTTATCATAATGCATTCACAGGCTACAAAGTTGACACAAATTAAACAAGAAAAAAGACAAAAATCGGTATGTACTAAGTACAATACAATAACAGCAAACATTTTCTAAATTAACTACTATACATATGTACTATTAGGTATGCATGCGTGTATATAGTTACAATACTATTTTTTATACTACGACATATGTATGTACAAGTCATTGTAACTGAAAATGAAATATGAAAACTCTACAAAAGCTCAATTACTGTCTGAGCATTAGGGATTTTTTTCAACGTAGTAAAGACTATTACACTGCAAAAATTAAAACTAAAACTAAGTCAACCATAAACATATTGTGTACGTTTGTAAACTATGCTAGTGTATATGTACTATGTTTTTAAAAAACTACACAAAGTAAAATATCAATTTTGTATTTTCTATACTAACTGACTAAATATGAGTTAACTCAACTAAGCTTAACGAATATTAAAAGTATTGGAGTTAAAAAAATGAGCCTTTTGAGCATTATATTGAGGGAGTTGTAAAACTAATGCTACTGACTAATTAAAATTTGTGGCTTTCGTTAAATATTTACAACGCTAAATTGAAAAACTATTAATATAAAAAGAAATATTTGGCATTCGAAGCAGTTTTTAAAACATTGCAAGGCTGATGTACTTAATTAATGAAGTTAAAAAAGATACAACTGAATTGCGCCGATCAACCATTGATCTCGTTTGAAAGTAAAGGATTTTAGGATTGGCTCATTGACAAAGTTTTTTTCTCAGCAATAAAATATATTAAAGCGCTAACAAAGCCTATAATAATAATTCAGCTAAACTCTGAAACGCATCGCACATATATATGCATTTAATAAAAATTAAGCTATTGGAAAATCTAAACCAGTAAAGTGACATTTTGAAAATTCACCTGTGTTTTGAGCAAAAAAACAAGGCATTTAAAAGCTTTTTTTACAATAATATTCAAAAACAATGGTTAAACAGTTAGTTTCTACTACGAAAATGAAATGTTCTAATTTTTTTAAAAACTCGGTAGTTGAACTTCAAATGCATTTCTTAGTTTTTCTCATTTTCAAATCATCATCTCTCAAATTGAATTTTGCACTATTTACATGGAAAAACTTATATTTAGATATCCATATCCATAGTACTTGACTGGTTTTTAATATTTCCTATATTGGCAATATACTATATATGTAGCTTTATAAATAAAAGCAATGCATCACATTCCATAAGCTTATGCAAGCTAATGTATAGATTTTTCGTTAAATGCACATAAAAGCACTTAATGTTTCCATATCCGAAAGCAACCTTAAAGCGTTCTTTTTAGAATCGTAACAAACATATCGTTTACCGTTCTTTATTTGAATATACAAAATAATTACATACATACTTATTGTACTCAACTAATGTACTCGACTTAAATAAATGTACTCGTATTTACCCACTGATATACCAACGATTATTATAATGTACACGCGTACATATACACACACACTTACATGCATTAATACACTATAAAATTATACAATTCATAAATTTACTCAAACCTTACCTTGAAGAGCTTCTTTTTTATTATATTTTCTTTTACAAACATATTCCAAAATATACAAAATCTTGTCATTTGTATGCTCATTCTTTCTGTACAAAATGAATGGTGCATATTTTTTTTATATTTTTACTATTAATTTAAAGTTTTATTACAAATTTATGTAAAAGATTAATGTGTCTAAAAATATTTCCTTAAAATCAAGACGTGTTGTACATGCATACACATTCAAATGATTATTATTAATGAAAAACGAAAGTTGTTTTTAAATAGTTTAAACAATAGCAGATATATATTTATATTATTTAAGGCGTTATATTTCATTGAAAATCCAGTAGCAATAATAGTCATATCAAATTGCTGTTTAGTTTATGTATGCTAAAAACTTGGTGTTTTAGTGATAGAGGAATACTATTAATTTGTTTTATATGTTATTAAGCCGTTTTAAGTTTTAGTTTATTACAGAATAAATATATGTTGTACACCCCAATAAAAAGGAAATTTATTAACTACAGCAACTATGTAAGTATCAACCGTTTCAGCAAAATCCAAATTTTGGACAAGATGAATACCAAATGCATTAGCCAATCATCACATAGATAACTTACCCAGACATTACTGGCTTACTTTTTTTCTACAAAAACTGTAAAATATTTACAACAGAATTGTATCAGTTTTTTTTTTTTTTTTTGCAGGGGCAGAAAATATTTGTGAAATAATTTAGAAGAATGCTGGTGAGTTGACAATCCAAATCCTGTTACATAGACCCAACTGGCGTGGAAACGGGTACAACGTTGTTGTACGCACGCTTTGTAAATGCATTGATACACATAGTACATACCTTTTCCTATTTTGAGAATATTAACTATTGCATTTTTTGTTTTCAACACATTAAACTATATTTTATGTTGTATTAATTAATAACAATTATTCAGCACGTTTTTCTTCCAACACTTCATCTGTGGATTTGTTTTTATCAGCAAGACGCTGTTGTTTAAATAATTCAATAAGCTTATCAGTTGCCGATTGTTCCACATCGAGTGGACGTGAAGCGTCTGCGTTGGGATATGTTGTCACATTTGCCTCTGGAGCTCGTAATGTAAATGGCGTCCATGGACCCTGTATTGAAGGCACATCGGTATGCCACATTTTACGCAAACGTAATGAACTTGAACTACCATTTTGCGTTTTCAACAGTTGAAGCCATTTCGAAATGTCATCTTGAGTGGCATTGCGGCAGTTTAGCCATTCGCGATCACCATTTACTAAAATTGATAATTAAACGTAATATTTGTGCATATGTCATGTTAATATTTACTTACAATATTCACCAACTAGTACCGGTCCACGATGACGGCGAGGTTTAACATAAACCACTACGCCGGGATTTTCTTGGGCAAAGTCAACCAGATTATTCTCAATGAATTCTCTATTTATGTAAGCACATAATGTTTTCAAATGTAAACAATACAAGCAAGTAATAAAAATGTAATAGGTGAATACCTCATGCCCCGGCTAGAGCCATTGTTCTTACAGAACTTTAATGTAACACGCTGCAATTGGCAAACATATCTTCCAATGCCATTTTGAAGCGGCGCACGTGGAAATCCAGATTTAAGGAATAAATGACTATTCGACATTTTAATTTTAAAACGCTTAGTAAGTTGTAAAGCAGGAAATTAGCACGTATGAAAATAAGAATAAGAAACTAACCTATTTGTTATAGAATAAACAGCTGTTGCAAGGGTGGTTCTGTGTTGGGTTAAAAACTTTGAACATAAGAAACAAATAACAATGTAATAGATTTAAATTTAATTCAAATATAATTATATTTTTTACCTTATAAACCTATAATAAATAAAGTATAAGCTACAGTTTTATTAATATATATGCAATATTTAAATTTTTTATGTGTAAACCGTAGCAACCCTGTTGTGACATAACCTACTTTTAATTGACATTTCGTAAAACTTATTTAGTAGGTTATTTTGCATTTTGATATTGTTCATAATTTTAATATAAAATAAAATGAACTTTGTTAAAATTCTACGCACATCCGGCGTGCATTGGCAGTTGGCACGAGATTACGCCTTCAAGTCGGACTTAAAAATCAAGTGGGTACGTCCGGAAAAAATTCCCTGCACAAAGCCGGAGAAAAGTGGAGATTTAGGAAAATTACCATCAATTAATGAAAAAGAATTACTGTTGGGTTTTAAAAACTCCAAAGAGCTGCAAGAGTAAGTAAATATTTACTTTAACCATTAAGTACTATAATTATTATTTTATTATATAGCGCCGACCCAGTCATACAAGCTCTCTTTCAACTTGATAATAATCCCTTAGCGGAAACTTCACGTTATTTACGTGACCAGATGATTAAAGAGGTTCAACGCCATCCGCTTGATTATGGTTCTATGGAAGCCAAATGTAAGTTCATTTCAAAATTATAATTGTATTAGTTGCTGTTAAATACATTATTATTTCAAAATATAGTGGCGCGAATGACGGCGAGTATTCGTGGTATGCAAGAACAACTTGATAAATTTCCTAGAAATGTCAAATTGAAAGTTGCTTTAAAAGAACTAATTGACAAGCGAAAGAAATTTTTGAAATATTTACGTCGTTGGGATTACCGAAGATTTGAGTGGATGTTGGAGAAGCTTGATTTAGTTTACAAACCGCCACCAACAGAATTCCATTGGGTTACAAGAAGGGAATCCCTACAAAAGCTTACTGATGCGCATTGCGAACAAATCAAGGAGGATCGTCTTGCTGAATATCGAAAAGTGTTAAATGAGCAAAAGATTCCCTTTTTAGAAGACGCCATTAAGAAAATGGAATTTGTACGCAAAGAACAAATTGATTTAGAAATACCAGTCACCGTAACGGAAGAGCAAATAGCAGACTTTAAAAGAGAACTAGAATTTCTGAAATCCGAACGAAATACAAAAACGAAAGATAATGAATAATTAAAACAAAACAAAAAAAAAAAAACAACAATGTCAAAACATAATAAAATAAATATTCGTTAACTAGATTTTATTGTCTTGGCAATTGACAACAACCACCAGTGGTCCGAGTTGCGCTAGTTTGAAATGAGAGTCACTACCTATAACATAGAGGGCATCTAGGTATAAATTAGTAGTCTTATAAGAAGAGCAACTAAGTATTTACAAATATAAACGAAATTTATTTGCGCATACATTCTGCTGTTTCAGCCTTTAAATCAAATAAACACACTAATTTTCATTTAAATATACGTATAAACCTAAAACTATAAGCATGTACCTAATGGTAAATCTGAATTAAATTGATAACTAAGAAAATACGGTTACAGCGAACGGTAGAACAAATCTTCCAACCGTGTTAATATTTACGGCATTCAACGAAAGTCGACAAAAACACTATAAAAAACAAAATTAAAAACTACCAAACACGGTCTATTAAACTGTTATCCTGTGGTTTTTGATTCATTGTCGCCATTTGTTGATGATAATTTCTCATCTGATTATTGCGACGTGGTTGTGCCAAATATTCGAACATACTTTGTGAATGCTGTGAAAGCATTTTGCTCAAGTCACTAGGCATTGGATCAGTCCAAAAGAAGTCATGATTAAGCGCCGTGTCCGCATCGATACGTTTCTTTGGATCAAGTGTCAACAGCTTATCAAGTAGATCACAGCCATTTGGGTCCTTTACATAAGGTCGCAAGCGTTCTTTTACACGACGCTTCTGATTCTTAGGTAATTCTACGGATTTATATAATTCTAATTCTTCGACTCCAGACCATACATCCGGCGTAAACGAGCCGCATAATTGAGAAATGAAGGTAAGTTGTTGTTGTTCTGTATTGCCTTGCATAATGGGCGAACGTGTCCACATTTCAGCCATAATGCATCCAGCACCCCACATATCGACAGGTGGACCATAATTACGATCACCGAGCAGCAACTCGGGCGGACGATACCACAACGTAACCACCCGATTTGTATAACGATTTTTTGTATCGTTTTTCGGTATACTAAATGCACGCGCCAAGCCAAAATCCGCCAATTTCAACACACCGTGTTTGGTAATGAGAACATTAGCTGCTTTCATGTCACGATGCAGAATCTGAAAATGTTTGCAAAAATTTCTAATAAATGGTACATTGTTTCACGAATTTGTAATTATGTTACCTTATTGCTGTGTATATAATATAAACCATTTAATAGTTGTTGCATAACTTTCTTGATTTCGCCAAGACTAAATTTAACATTGATATTCGATAACAACCCGGCCAAGTCGTGTTCACAAAAGTCGAAGACCAAGTAAAATGTTGAACGGTAACCGTTACTGGCAGTCGCTTTTGTACGGCAGATTTCGATTAGATTCACCACATTTTCATGTTTTAGCAATTGCAATATACGAATTTCACGGAGAGCAGTAATAGGAAACTATAATTTGATAAATGTATATTAATGTTAATGAAATTTTTATTCATAAGGAATAGCGGCATCGAATAATACTTACGCCTTCTTTTTCGTTATCCATTAGCACTTTCTTCATAGCGACGAATTTTTTGTTGCCTTTCTTTTCGCGGGCTTTGAACACTTCACTGAAAGTGAAAGCGATTCACATAAAAAAAACAAAACTGTTACACAAAGAAATTAGTTCATCAAATCGATGGCTACACTTACCCGAAAGTGCCTTGGCCGATTTTTGCAACCTTCTCATATTTAGAAGACTCGTCACAATATGGAAAATCATATTCTTCGATGTATTTCTGTTTCTCGGCCAATGAAAGTGTTCGTGATGAACTAGAGGATGTCACGCCAGGCGTCGATTGCATTGAATGCGATAGTGGAATGTGTTCATCTCGTCCACGAGAGGACATGCTGTATGGTCAGTCTTTCCTAGTTTTAGGAATTTATTTATATTGTTACGTTGCCGTTTTCGACCGTTTTTTAACCTGCACAATTTGAGCCTTTTAAACTATTTTTTACTAATAAATAATAAATAATATTTCGGCAACGAGTTATTTTATTTTAGAATGTAATTACTTTTTGACAGTTTATAATATATGTTCTCTGTTTGCAGTGATAGCTGTCATATATGACCATATGATTCGAGACTCGAAACGATATACCAAACACAATATGGTGATTCACACAGAATGTTTACTAAAATACTGTCGGAAAAACTTTATGCACAATTAGGCTTTATGCCATATGTAGTATAACATATACAACCAGAGAACGTAAATGGTACAACTATTTTGGTAAATTAGACTATGTTCACAAGAAAACTCTTTTTGTCGCCTAAACCGGTCTATTTTGGCAAAGGGACGACGAGAAGGATAAAGAGACCATGTCGCTCGTCGCAAGCCCAGTACCCTTTACACCCTATACTTTGAGAAAACGTACACAAATGAAATACATGCGTTTTAAATTAAGGTATTTATTACATATCATGGATAAGATTTTATCATTTTCAATTTGCTTCATACGAAGCTTTTCTGCATATATTATTTAAGTAGTTGTAAACTAATACATTACATTAAAGCTGAAAAGCTATGTGAAATTTTCTTAATTTTACATAAACAAGTCATAAATAATTGAAGTAGCTGGACTGAAATGCGCTACGCTCATTAAAGTACTAATATAAGTTATAATGCATATTTTATTGTTCTTAAAATACCAAAATATTTAGGAAAAAAACCACTTCAGGCTAGTATGTATGAACAAAAAGATAAACAATATCTATGTGCAAAATCTAAATTGTGAAGATAAAAATATTGTTTAGTAACGTCTATATATTTTTCAATACACAACTGCTTTTTATATTCCCAGCATAGGCGTTATCCACTAGGGATAAACATTTTAATCAAGATAGATTGTGATAGAAGACGCAATAGAATTCAATTTTTTGCTTATTAGTTGTCAATAGTGTATATTATTATGCGCTCAGTGACGATTTCTCGAGCTGCTATGAGATCGTGAACGATTGCGACCACGTCTTTGTTTGGAAAGCGTTGTTGACTGGGAGGTACGCCTTTTACGCTTTGCTGATGTAACTGATGAACGAGAAGATGATCGTGACCGTGAGCTTGACTTAGATATATTACGTCCGGTTTTTCCGGAAATATGTGAAGAGGTTCGTGATGTTTGTGAATGAGTCTTGGAACGTTCTCGTGAACGCTTACGTGTGGATGGTGCTGATTTAAGGCTGTTTGACTGTGTAGTCTTCCGATCCTTGGACGTACTGCGTTGACGTGATTTTCCTGATCGGCTGCCCGAACGTGAACCGCCAGAACTGGAACCTGAACGGGTACTTGAAGTATAAGATGATGATGAAGAACTTGAGCTGGAAGATGTAGAAGATCTCGATTGGGATCTTGAACCGCTGTGAGTCCGCGACAGTGAACGCGAATGTGAACGAGAGCGTGAGCGACTACGAGAACGAGATTTTCGTTGCTCTAATGTTTTTGTGCTTGATTTAGGTTTTTGTTCTCCTCCTCCTGGTGTTACTAGGGTAACTGGTGTTATTTCATCGTCACCCCACAGATCATATTTCGAAAGATCACCGCCATCGTCCTCTTCGTCTTCCTCTTCTTCGATAGCATCTTCGTCAGTATCGTCATATTCCTTTACATCGTCATTAGATTTTTCATTATCCTTCATTTTTCGCTTTTTCAAGCGTCCATATTCGTCATAATCACTGTCGGAATCAGAGCGGTCTTTATATTCGACTACACCACGATCATTATAGCCACCGCCATAACCTAAATAAATGAGATATATCAATGTATGCACATCTGTTGTTTGGATTAAAACACACATTTCTAAAAAAACATTAAACTGAACGCAAGTATTTTTCATGATTAAAATATTAAATCCGTCGGTGTTACTCACCAGTTCGCTCTTCTACATCGCTAAACTTAGGTGCATTACACATATTGCAAGTTTGTCGACGAGCCCAGTTTACGTTGGCACATTTGCTACATTGCCAATCTTCAGCTGAGAAAAGACCTCGCGATTTCTCGGCGGCAGCCTTGCCTATTTCAGTTCCCAATTTCTTCTTAGCCGCGGAACCTCCACCGCCAGATGAGCGTTCCGGGCTGCGTTGCTCAAAACTAGCATGACGGCTTCTGTAAGGCAAATTTCAGAAATCGTCGGAAGAAATTTTAGTTATATGATAAAACAAATAATTGGCTTTTTGCTGAGAACAACACTCGACCACCCTCCTCAGACAGTCGACAGTTAGCTGCAACTCACTCGCTATCACCGAAAGCGGCACCAACGCCAGCTCCTGTTCCGGTACCAGCACTCGACATTTTTTCTTGTTTTTTTTTGCTTTCTTTCTACTTTTTTCCGGCCAATTATTTGCCGTCACCTTACTGCTACAGAGTAATTTGCATTAAATTTAACTCTTTATATAATCTTTCAGGATATGTGTTTATTTTTTATATAATTTCTTTATTACTATCAACTAAAATTAATATTCGGAAAGAATAGCAGAATTTTCTTAATCGATTTTTTAAGTTCTACAATTTTTGCGTGCTTCTCTTTTCTTTAGATTTCTTCTTCTTATTCAATTATTTCAGAGAATGTCAAATATTTCGAATGCTTTTCCAGAGAACAAACGGAATTTGGACTCAAACAGGGCAATTTTAAAATTACATTTTTTTATAAAAATATATTTTTTTAAATACTTAGAAATAACCAAATACTTAAAAATATATGTACTTATTTTCGAGGAGAGACATAAATACATTTAATTTATTCAAGTACAGAAATCAACAACAGTTGCAGAGAATGTAAAATATAGAGAAGGTTCACAGTGCGGCCATTAGCAAAATATTTCACGTTTCGAAGGGGTACTGAAAACGATGAGGGTATTTCACCACTTTTGGAAGGGGTACTGAAAACGATGAGGGTATTTCACCACCGAACATCAGGGGACTGAAAAATAGCAGAATTGAGCATTTTCAATGTTAATTGAGAAAAATAATGCTAATTTCAATGTTAAGAAATGTACAATGCGCAAACGACTTTTCATATAATTTGAATATATTCTGCCTATACAGGGTGGCTAACGAATCGTGCTACAAAATTAAACCGTAAGAAGTTTCTTTTTAGTCAATGCACTACATTTATTTTTTTTATTGTATAGAAAATTTTATTTTATTTAAACAATTAATTATTCTTCCATGCTCAACCACGCATATGCGACAGCTAATTCGGGATTGCCTCAATTATCTATTTAATGGACTGCTTCAGCTCAGTCAGATTTCTGGGTTAGATTTTGTACACCTCTTGCTTGACATAATCTGATAAGAAAAGACCAAGCGGTCGCAAATATTCTTATACATAATATATGTATAATTATGCGTGCATGTAAACAAATATGAAAGTACCCATTATAATTATTTATTTGTCTGCATGCAACATATGTATGTAAATATGTACACTCATTGTTCCATGCAAAATCTCCGTTGCCACGGACAACCAATTGCGGAAGGTCATGTTTTTTGTTTTCATGTCAAAAAGTCAATATGTCGAAGGACTGACGCGACGACAAAGTGTCACAACATTGTTGTTGGTAGAAAATCCGAGCTGTGCCGAAAAAAAATTAACGAACGGCCGCCGGGTGTCACCGCTTCCCTTGCCGCTCTTACAGCTTTACCAACAAACTATCGTAAATATGTATGTTTATGTATGAGCATGCATACATATTGACGGAGATTTTTGTCATGGAAAAATATAGTAAAATTGAAAAATAATTTTGAATTGTTAAATATTTTAAATGGACAAAAGCTTTGTTGCCACTTTTGTCACTTTTTTTGTGTATTTTGTGGTCTTGCGGGGCTGCAACTTTTCCCTTCTAGAGGGAACATCAGAAAGTTTTTCAATTTATTTGTTAATTTGTCTACATGCAACATATGTATGTAAATATGTACACTCATTGTTCATGGGACCATACACACTTTTACAAACATATATCGCATATGGGCAAGTGCAAAATCAACCCCTATTCATATACAACGTGGCATGCGTAAATGGAAACAAAGTCAACAAGTCATGTGCATATATACGGACAGATGTGTGTACAAAAAATTCGAATATTTACATTCTTTCACAAATACAGTCAATCCCGATTAATGCCAAAACCAAAGTTGCAGATTTTTTGTGCTTTGTAGTACATAAGCGATTGTGGTACTTAAGCGAGTGGTACCAAAAAAATAATTTCTATGTATTTAAAAAAAATTACCGTTTTCCTTAAAAAATTAAGGAAAAAAAACGTGAGATGCAGTAAGACACAAGCAGATAAGAGGGATTGGAGCAGCGATACTTACCCGGGGCTTACTGTATACATAAATAAAAGGAATACTGAATATTTTTTTTTAAAAGTTTCTTGATTTGTAAATCGACAAATATACTATGTTGTGACTTTTATTCTAAAATATTTTAATACTCATATTTGAGGGGTTGTCACTTTTCCCTTCTAGAGGGAATATCAGAAATTTGTTCAATTTATGATTTTTAGCTTTTGCCATCGTCGCGAAAAGAAGCTTGTAGGCAAACGCATGCTCGGGGAAATGAGAGGGTGTCTGTTTTTATGAATGAAGCGAGGTTGCTTGTTGAAAGTACGCCTGCGTTCATGAATGAAAATGTTGTTGTTTGATTTACTATAAATTTGACTTTCGCCTATTTGGCTGACATATTGACTTGTAACGATTGTTGTTTTTGTAGAACAATGTTTGTAGTTTTTGCCGGTGACATATTTACATGTGTACGAGTATATGAATGTAGGTTTGTGTATTTATTATTTGTGTGGCAATGTCATAAGCACATATGTATGTATGTACATATAGAGCAGTGCGCGCAAATGTTATTACTGATAAATGATAATAACTTGATTTGAATTTGAATTTTACTTACATAAGTACATACATATGTATGTATGTAAGCTTTAAATCATGAAAGGTGTGATTTGCATATATTACTATTTAAATATATTAAGATTTTTAAGATATTATGTTAGTGTGTTATATACTTATGTATGTATGTATATAGTAAAACATAGCAGATATGCATACATATGTATGTACTTATATGAAAGCATTTCATAATATCAAACCTAAGCAATATCTAAAAAGCAACTGCAAATATTCCTTTTAAGTAGCATATTTTAATTAAAATGTAATACATTTTTCATGATATCATAGATATTCAGAATGAATTTCATATCTATGAATATGATTGCATATAAACGTATAAAAATATAAGCTAACATGCGGCTGTAATATCAATGCAAACTTCTGAGCATAATTTTCATACAATGCTCAGCTCTGTTCACGCGCCACTGTTAAAATTTCTCCTTCCGAGCCGACTGTGGTGAAATACCCTCATCGCATTTTGTTAGGTTTTGACAATTCACACGCTGGTCCGTAGTTGGACCTTCTCTATATTTTACATTCTCTGGAGAATGTATTTTACATTCTCTGTTATCTGTATGTTTATGTTTTCTGCTATAGAAATGTTTTTGTTTTTCTTCGTAATTTCATTTATTAGTCAGCCCGTCGATTCCTTTGTCATACCCAAATCATACTCGTTATATTATTATTAATATTTAAATTTGATATTATAGCATGGAATCTAAGGATAAGGAAAGTGTTAAGGAGGATTTGGTTACCACAAAGCCGACTTTGCTAAATGTGATGTGTTCAATTTGTTTCGATTTTTATGAAAACGGTGATCAAATCTTTTCCACAACCTGTGGTCATATATTTCACAAGAAATGTTTGTTCATTGCTCTTAAAAATTCAAAGACCTGTCCGGAATGCCGTCGCCCATCGGGAAGCAACAGAGTACATCCTATATTCCTCAATTTCGGTGAGCGCACCGAAATGGATTTGAAATGGAATGATTCGAGAGTTGTTGATGCTTATGCAAATATACCTATTTGGACACCATTATACGGATTAGAATGGGGTGGTTCACAACGGGTCCCACAGCCTCCACCAGAGCCAGACGAAGCGATTCAAGCCGGTACCGATTCCGAAGGTAACCCCACATATGTGGCTCGTGTTTATTTCCAAGACGATCTTCTGCCGGCCAGTTATGTGCCATCCAAAGGAGTTGCATACGCGTCGCATGGTTGTTATGGCTATACATTGAGTGAAAATATCGAATTATTGAATAACTTCAAACACCAATGGGTAGCTGATTCAAATGGTCACGTACCGGAGGGTGCCGTAGTAGGCGGATATTCTGAGATCCATGAAGATTTGTACGTGGCACGAGCACAATATAATGATAAAATAATATTGGGCAAGGTGCATCCTTCGCACAGGGTAATGTATATGCCATACAATGGCATTGAAGTGCATTCAAATGAATATGAAGTATTGGTGCAAGAAAGGGCCACTGTCCAAAGTGATGGAGAAACGAATAATGAAGCTTAAACGGAAATATGCAAATATTTGATTACGCACTTGTCACTGCAACATATACATACATACGTCTATACATATATTTATATTCGTTGGATTTTTTTTTTATATTTTTATTATTATTAAAAATAATCAATTGTACGGGATTGCAAATCCTAAAAGCATATATAAAAGTCATAAGTAATATTAGGGAAAAATTTATAATATTTTAAATTGTACTTACTGTTATATAAATATTAAAATTTTTAATTAAAAATATAAAAAAAACAACCTTTAATATTTTATTTTTCGGGAAAGAATTAATATATGTCTATGGGTCAAATGCGAAAAATTTGTGCGCTTCCATATTTTATATATATATTTTTTGCTTTTGGGTTTATTTTTAAGAAATTAATACGTCATGTCATGGAATGATTCAGTAAATAGTACTAAAAAAGTATGATTTTCAACAACCTTAAACAGGGCATATTAAGTTTGCCAAACATTTTATAACACGCAGGAGAAAACGTTGGAGGACCTGCAAAATATATATACAGATGATCACGGTGTCGAGGTGAGTCGATTTAGCCATCTCCATCTGTCTGTATATACGCGAAATCGATCTAAAATATTGCACACATCCTTTATTCTCAAGAAGCTGCTCATTTCTCGGAACCGCTGATATTGGATCACTATAGCATCTAGCTGACATACAAACTGACCGAACAAAAGTAAGTTCTTGTATAGACATTTGTTTGTGAGGGGTATTATATTTAGTTTCTCTGCTCCGTAGTTAACGTTTTTCACGGTTTTTTTTTATCAATTTACAATTATGGCAAAACTCAAATTAAAGTTTTAAAAAATTTAAAACAACATTATTTTCCACTTAACAAATCTTTGATTTTATTGTTTTTTTGTTTAACTAGCTATTAATTAATAAATGTATGTATGTATTAAAACTATTTGCTTATGTACTAGGTATTCAATATTTCCCATTTGTTCTCTTAGAAAAATCATACAGTATGCAATTTTAAATACATTCCACTTTACACGCGTTCTTCAACACCCAATATTGAATTGTTACATAATTTGATTTTGCTTTATGTTTAGTTTTCATTCATTCCCTGTAACTAATTATTTCATGCTTATATTTATAAATTGTTTAGAAATGTGTATTTCTGGATTTAAAATATCTGAATACGCTTGTTGGATATGGGATACATAATTGTTTTTGAAAAAATGTTGTGACAACTGTATTTTTCATTTAAGTTAAAACCGACGACTTGTTAATATATTTTTTGCGTAAAAAGTATATATATATACCATATTTACAAAGTATTATTAAAAAAAATGTTTATGTATGTTTGTGATGTTCTCAATGTGACTGTTATTGATAATTAATGTTAAATTTAATTTAATGTCAATGGCAACACATAATGAATAGAGGTACTAAGAGGCTTATTATGTATTTATTATTTTTTAAATGTTCGTTTAACACTTTGACTGACATAACAACAGGCAACTTGTGTTATGTAAAACTAACACAAGTAAATGGCGCACTATATAACTCGTTAAGGGACATAATAATGAGTTTAAATGTTTGCTTATGCATTCTATAAATAATTTTATGCTAATTGATTGGTTAGTCAATTAGTTTTAAAAGTGTTATATAAAGATAACTAGTTACATTAGAATTGTTTTTATTTTTTAGGTTGGAAATTGTTAGAATAAAAATTATTTTCTTTTGTTTTAATATGAAATGTAAATCAAAGATTAAAATATTAAATTAAACTCAACTCAATAGTAATATTATAAGAGTTCTGTAAATGAAAGTAATTTCTCCAAATGGTTGGCTGTTCATTACAATTGCAATTTCAATGTCTTAAAATAATTTTATAGTCCCTTTTATACTAGCGTTATGTATATTTATAATTGAGTTAATATATTTTAATAAAATAATGCATTATCTATGTCAAAATATGTTACAGACGTAGACGATGGGCTTAGCGTTAACTTCAAACTACATAATTTGTGCTAAATTGTATGGTTTTATTACAATTTTTGCTGCAAACCGTGCGATTAAACTACTGCTATATACAATCTTATAAAGGTTGATTTAGGGTTACTTTCACATGACATTGATTATGTTTATACCTGCTGCATTTACCAAATTACTATATTCAAGCTTACTTTTTACAAAAATTTTAATTGCTTACCAAGTGGTAGTAAAAACTCGATGTTAAACTGTCAACGACGCCATTAAAAACAATTGTTTTAGTTGCTCCCACAGCTGACTCGTTTTTCTTGTTTTTATATAAACAGTAAAATAAACCACAGTCAGTTTAAAAATAAAAATTTGAACTGGCAATATGTAAGTATTACAATAATAAATTAAACTAACGTTTAATCGCACAGCCTTCATAAAATGCTCAATAACTGGTGTTGCTTTTTATCAAATTAACATCAAAGCTTTATAACACCTTCCGTTTGATTGGTGGTTATATTCTTTAAATAACAACTGACTACTAACATACAACAATATTTGTTAATTAAAAGAAAAAAGTATTAAATGAAAAGTAGAAAAAAACATGCGTACATTTTGTACATGGATGAACTTGGGTAATAAATGTGTGTATAAGTAAAATATGAATAATAATAATAAAAGAAAAATAAAATGTAAAGTATATAGTATGTAAACCACACATGCAATGCAAGCGGCGCCCCACTATTTTCGACAATATTGTTCTTATTGTTTGCTTATGCCATTTTTACGTCGTTTTTATGATTTGCGTTCCATGCAATAAACGCTATCGCGGCGCATACTCGGCCACCTCCAACATATTGGCCTCATCTCACTTCTGGGATGACAAGTAGTTCATATACTTGGCAGTTTGGCGTGCATTGCGCACCAGTTCGCTGTTGTCATTTTTCGTATCCCATGAACTGTCTTCTGGTTGTCCATGCACGCTTTTGGTGTCCTCCCAACGGTCTTGGCGCTGTTGTTGATTTTGCCGTGGAAAGTTTCGATTGCGCGTACGACGATCAAATGTGCTAGACGCTTCGCTTGCCAGGCTGCTTTGGCTACTATAACGTGGATTGAAATTACGTGTGCGCTGTTGTTGTTGCTGATGTTGTTTATACGTAGAAGGGCTTTGGTTACGGCGATACGTTGACGCATTGCTAGCACACTCATCGGCGTCCTCGAAATGACGAGATTTACCTGGACGCGGAAGTGTACGGGCGCGCGATGAACTGCGACTATTCGATTCGGGTCCATTGGAACGATGTGAAGAGTTTTCATCATGATATGAGTTATGCATGACATTGTTACGTGATTGACGCCATGAATTACTGTGTATGTTAGTATCTTTATGTTGTTGCTTTTGGAAGCGCGGTGGTTTATCATAGGTTTGACGATTATTAAAATGGCGATTGTTTCCGCGTCGGTAATTATTGCCACGCTCATAGTTGCTTATGTAGGAACGTTCACTGCGATCGTCTGCATGTTGCGACTGTCTGTCCCAATTTGAATTGGCAATCGAGTTGAAATTACTACCACTACGTTCCATTTTCTCCTGCGAATGTCGCAAACGATCATTTATGCTGTACAAACGAATACTGCCGCCGTCGCTACGCACACTCTGATCATCATCGAAACTTGTGCTAAAACGGCGTTGTTGATTATTTTGTGGGACCTCGTTATTTTGAAATTCGTTCTCTCGATTAAAACGTGGCGCACGCCAGCGAGGTAGCGGTTTTGTTTGATCCTGATCTTCATCATGTTGTGACGCTGGCGGTTGGTTATCGTGTGGACCATCCCTTTGGGAGAAATAATGAGAGATAAGTTATTGTCGGTTTAGGCAAAGAGTATATGACGAGATCTATAAATAATTTATGTTTAACTTTTCCAGCGCTGTATCATACCTTTCATTACCGGCATTTTGTTGATGTTTAAGTGGACGTGGTGAATTACGTGGTTTTTGTGAACGCCTGGCATTTCGGCTAGAGCTATCATCATCAGTACGCCGACTATTACTTCCACCTGATGAATTTAATTTATCACTTCCATTACTTAACCGTCCTCCAGCCTTTTTGGCATCAAAGCCTTTAGCACCATCCCCATTATCATTGTATTCTTGCTCATAGCTATTAAACTCATTGCCGAATTCACCTTCATATAATGCATCTTCGCACACTTGCTCACTCCATTTTTTGGTTGACAGCTGTGAATCGTACAAATCATTTGTATCATTTTCTTTATCATCATTTTCAAGAACTGCTTTTGCTGGCGCCTCCACCGTTGAATCTGCACTAGTATTAAGTGCTTGTACCTGAGGTTGTAATGGTGATTGCGGCTGCACTAATTGCACTTGCTGCGCTGGCACATATACTGGCAGTGATTGTGGTTGCAAAGCAACATTGACGTTGTTATTGCCTTCATCTTCCACGTCTTGTACTAGATATTTGGTGTACATTTGTTCGAGTTGTGTACCCAAATTTGTAAAATTACTATAGTACAGATCAAGTGTCATTAGCAATAACGCTTTTACGGTGGCACTTAGAGCCGGTTGCTCAATCAAATTACGTCTTATGTGGTAGAGCAGTTGAGTCAGTTCGTCTTTATGTTTTACGCGGATTATATCACCGTTTAGTGTAATTTGTGATAGTATTAATTTGGCTAATTTCACATTTATTGGTTCCAGTGCGCTAACTTCACGTATAAGTAAGCTAAGTAAGGATTTGCCCAATATCGTGATAGGTGATTGATCAGCTAAACGCACTCGATTATAATATTCACCCAACAGTGTAATAGAATTGTAAAGACGTTCCTTATCGTGAATGCGATACGTATCGGCATTTAAGTAATTTGCCTCCAGCACCTTCAACATGGCACTACGTATTTTTACATCTTTCATTGCTAGTTGATCAAAGTTGTGCGATGAAAAGAGCATGGCGAATTTTAATGCCATCTCACCGTCTGCCAAAGCCTTGTCATTAATATAATCCATGCATTCGCTGTAAATTAGAAATTATACGTTACATATCTATGTTAATTAATTTTATACAAAAACCTTAAAATGTTAAAAAATATATAAACAAGAAAACACGTAACTTAATATACGCTGTTCAGGTTATAAAAACATTACATTCATTAGCAATAAAAATTGCTTGAATAGTTAAAGCCAATAATTATTCTCATAAAAAATTAGTTCATAGATAATTTTTAATTGTACTAGGGCAATGACCTCAACATTCATAAAAAAAAAATTAGTCTTAATCAGTCAATAGAAAATGTACAATTATTTTTGTTGAATATACAAAGTAGAAAAGATATGGTCAGTTATCGTGCGTACGTTTGTCTGTACGTAGGTAAACAAACAATTAATTAAACTCATTTGTATCTTGAACTTCAATTGTGGACGCAGAAAACAAATGCACATCGATATGAGCATCTAACGGTTAAAAGCTCGCTCGTCATATACATATGTATATACATATGTGCCAATAATATGCAGACAAGCATTATGCAAGGTCAAGCGGAACATCTGGTTACTTTATACAGTTCACTGACAGGTGGAATTAAACACATATGAATTTTTTAAAATCCAGATTTGCAAATAAAGTAGCATGATGTTCAAAACATGTGGGTAATACACATTTTTCTATATTTGCCCCATACTAATATGTAGCCTCTTTATATTCAAGCGAGCTTTTATTAAGTTCAAAACCTTTTATTAATTTATTAGAAATAAATAACCCCGATTTCTAAGTATTATTTGTATATGTACATTGTTGCCGAATTTTTATACGTCCATTAGTGAAAGCTGTAAAGTTGAGGAAAAAAAAATAATTTTTGGACGTATGTATTTAATCTAGGCAGTCTTGGCTAAAGCAAAACTTGAAAGCATTTATTCATTGGGCAAAATCGCATTAGTCACATACCCTACAAACGTGCGTAAGTATTATTTGCTGGTTTGAAAAAAAAACAAAGAAACTAAATTGACAAATGGTTCATACTTGTTGCTGTACGGTTTGGCTATCGTGCCGTATATGCCAGAACTATGTGCAGAAATTCTTTTATTTTAATGTAGCTCTAAATAAGCGTTCATGTAGTTGGATACGTCAGGCTTTTAAGTTTAAGTTTATATGTTATATATATTTTTTAAACAAATTATTCCTTACAAAGTCACTCACCATAACATGTTTTCGTCGTGTACTAACATACAGAAGTCTGAACGGATAGCTCCAATTTTATGATTCATTTTAATGCCATCATCCTGCAGATCGAGACCTCTTATCATTTCTACGAGATGATCATAAGAACAAGCGCCTGGTGGTAAATTAAAGGCTGAATTTAAATTTCCTGGTTGTAGAAAATTGCAAACGTCGTTAAGGTTGCTTGCTGCAACACCTGCACTACTTTCAGTGTTATTAGTTTTATCTTTGCCTCCAACTCTAATATTGCCAGCAACGCCATTCCTGTTGTAATGGCTCGCCGCATTATTATTGGCCATTGTTATTTGCAATATTTTCAAACTGCTTTGTTACACTGTGGCTGTCAATTTGTTAGTGCACAAGTCTCTCTTGCTATTATTGCCAAATGGAATATAATGAAACTATCGAATAATATCCTCTGCATACACACTTCTTTCAGTTGTTCGTCATCAATTATGCACAATTCCTTATTATAATTCTTGTTTGTGCGCAAATAAAGCGGTCAACTCTCAATATAAATGGCCGAAAGCAATATATTGCGATTTGAAGTGACGTACGAAGCACCGAAGCACACATATACGGGAATACGGGAACGCGGACAAGTAACTAGGTAGCGAAGAAGTCAAGCAAGCTATTCATACCAATATCGCCGTCTGTCTTTTGACTCCAACTCCAAGTTCTGCAACAAGTGCACTTATATGCCACAAATAATGTAAGTTATCTATATTATTATATCTGCAATTTGTTGAAAAAAAATATAAAAAAATATATATAATTAGCACTGCGTCTCGTGGAAATGCGTTTTTCGCTCGCACTTTTTAAAGAAACGAAAAATTGAAAGAAAACTTAAAAGAAATATGAAAAATAAAAAAAATGTCAAAACTGTCAAACTGAAATCAGAGAACGTATACAGAGAACGTATATTATACGTTCTCTGATAATATCAGCAGAGAATGATTATAAATATTCATTGCCATTCTCTGGCAATAGTACAGTAATACAGTAGCTCTCAAATAGTGCTCGCCACAAAGAATTTCATTACCATTTAATAAATCTCAAATCAAAAGACCAAAAGTCTTGCGACCCTGTCGTAGTACGTTTCTTTTGCGTTTCCCTTTCCGCCTCATTTTGACAGTTGAAATTGGTGCGCGCCAAAAGAAACGTTTAGAAGCGTCTTTTTTAGTGTTTTGCATGTTCGGTAGAAAATTAAATAACGTTAAACAAATACGGCGTAATAAGTTACTATTTTGTGATTATTTAAGTGAATTGAAGTCTCTTTAGTAATATCAATGTTAAAAATATTTGCTTTTTGTGTTTGTGCTTTTAAAATTAATATTTTTGGTGTGCTTACGAGAAATACATATGGATATGCCGCACCAGACCAATAAATGAATTATGTGGATGATTGGCAGGAAGAGGTAAGTGAAGTTTTTACCTTTAAATTAATAAACAAGTGAGAAGAATTGTGTTTAGTCCAAGCAATTCTGGTAATGTATGGTAGACGGGAGCAGTTTCCATGTGAAGTATGAATTAACTTATTTTTATTTCATAGTTACAAACGCCTCAAATAGTTGATGAGATCTGAATGTACAAAGATGGTATATAAATACCAAAACTACGTGCATTTCATCAGGTGCACATTTCACTAGGCTTTTCTAGTATGAAAATATATGTTATTTTATCTACGAAGTGTTAGTGAGTTTCTGGTTTATTACAAATATTGCTCGTGAAAGACACTGTTTGTCAAGCAAATCATCTTTCAATTTAATTTTTAACAGGGATGCATGCAGATGTGAGAAAATATATTCCAAAAAACTTTAATATAAATACATACATATGTATGTATTTACTTACATAAATAGTGTTGTAATTCAAGTGTGCCATAAATTTGTGTGTGTGTGCCATAAGTGTGTTAGCTAATGCTATCAGGTGGAATCGTTGAGGATGGTTGGAATTCAGAAAAACAAATAAGACATATTCTGCTTATCACAGAATACTTTCTCTATAAAAACAAAAACAAACCTAAATAAAGAAACTTGTCATCAGTCCACACATTTAGTTATCTCAAGTAGATGTGTTAGCTCTACAATAAAAATCTCATTTCATTTTATTTGATAAAAAAGATTAACATAACAAGCATTTAAAAATACATAGTACATATTTACGTGCGATAAGGCACTGACATATACGAGTACGACTACATAAATACATACGCCTTTGAAAATTTGGTTATGCAGGCGTATGAGGGCGTATAAAATCTGTAAATCGGCTACAAATAATTTAATATTAGTTAGTTGCAATATCATATATATACGAATGAGTTTACCAATTCTTTTTTGTTTTTTTGTTTTTTTGTTTTTGTTTTCAAATATTTAACAACGACGTTATACACTTATTCATAAGTTCTAATGTTAAATTTTATTTTTATGTTTGCATGTATATATTATTGTATTTATCTTGTAATATGTAAGAGTGTGTGTGATTTGAATAACACTTTAGTTTTACTGATGTTTATGCAACAAATCTATGTAAATATAATATAATTTGTATGATTTAAATTTTTTCGATTCATCGTACAACGATATAGTGCTCGATTCTCAGTTAATGTGGCTATGGACTTAAGACTTAATGCCATTACGCAAAGCGAAATGCATTCAACTGACAAAGCATTCCTTCAATTTCAGTTAACTTTTATGTTCCCCAATGGATGAAGCAAGTTGTGTGTATGATTTTATCGACCTTTTCCCATAGTAACTGGTCAGCAGGAACATTTGCCTTTGCTTTCTGATGACGATTGTTCTGCGGAATTATTTAGATTAAATTTCTCACTGTCGGCTAGGTCAGCGGCGCTGATCAATTTGTCGTTGAGTAAAATCTGCAATTAATTAATTTAAATTAATAAAAAAAAAAAAAAACAAGAAAAGTGAATAAAAATATATGTATACACTCACCTTGTTCACTAAAGCCCTGGCGGCCTCATCAATATTGATATTTTCCTTGGCTGATGTCTCATACCAGCCAGCAAAACCATTCTCACGTACATACTCATCCATTTTCTCGGGTGATGTCACGATACCTTGTTTTTCCTGATCGCACTGTACAGAGAATTTCAAATAATTATTGAAAAATAATATAAAAAAAACTAGCAAAATTAAACTGCCAGTATTATTGCAATTTTTTATCAGTACTAAGCTAACTTTCCATACCAGATTTTATTCTTATGGCGATTGTAAGGAAAACTTCTCTATTTAAAAAGATAACTTCACGATATAAATCAACGTAACAATATCCGAACAAAATGTCTAGATCGGACCATTATAGCATACAGCTACCATACAAACTGATCGATCAAAATCAACTTCTTATATGGAAAGGCTTTTTGTTGACAGATAACTTAATAAAATTTTGCATAGATTATTGTTCCAAGCAGCGCTACAATTTTTGAACAAATTGTTTAGATCGGACCACTATAGCATATAGCTGTCATAGAAACTGATCGAACAAAATCAAGTTATTGTACGGAAAACTTTTTTATTTGATTAGTTATCTTTACGTAATTTGGCAAAGCCAAAGCAATGCTAAAATCTCCAAATATATTGTTCAGATCGCACTACTACAGCATATAGCTACAATACAAACTGGCCGATTCAAAATAAAAATTAAGATCTCTTATACCCTTTTATGTTAGAGGAAATGCACCTTTGAAGGGTATTATGGAAGTTAACGTTTTTCCTTGCTTTAACTTACCTTATTAGCTAACAGTATACAGGGTATCGGGCTGCCATCGGGTAATTGAACTTTCGAATCCAAATCATCTTTCCACTTACTCACACAATCGAATGTGCCACTGCGTGTTACATCGAACACAATGAAAGCACCAACGGCTTCTTTATAATAAACACGAGTCATATTGCCAAAACGCTCCTGACCGGCAATATCCCAGAGTTGTAAACGGACGGTTGTATTTGGATCCCAATGTAGTACTTTCAATGCGAAATCTACACCGATTGTGGCACGATAATTCTGACTGAAAAACTGATGCACATAGCGTTTGATAAACGATGTTTTGCCAGTGCCCAATTCACCGATGACTAGAATTTTGTATAGATGCTCACGCTTCTCTGTATTCGCGGAGGTCATAATTGTCTGAAAAGCAGAAAACATAAAAAAAATATTTATTATATAAACAGTTGCATTTTAAGTGTATTACAAATTTCGCAATAAAAGTATATCATTTAGAATAAGCATTTGGACACAAATACAACTAATATTATATATATATATGATACATGACTTCGCAGCTTATATTTTTTGGAATATGCGCGACGTACTATTTTAGATTCACTCTGTTGTCACTAAAGCGAGTATATATTGATCTTAAATTAGAATTAATTAAAAATTAAAAACTTCGTTGACTAATTAGTCACTGCGCAATTGCCCGGAAACAATGAAAGGAAATTTCTGTTTCGAATTGCATGTGTTTTAAGTATGTATGTTCAGATGTATGTCATGCATGCATAATCTCATTTTCATTAACAGACTGCACACTTGTGAATACACTCGTATTTAATACTTTATTTGCATTTAAGCTTTTAATCTCTAGTTTCAAATCGTATTAATGTCAATAGGGCTTCGGTGAAGAAATTATCTTTGACCTGCCATTTCTTATAAATCGATTTACATATTTGACTTATTTATACCAACGTCGTAGTGTGCTGTTTCACTTGTTCATATTGATGTTGAGTAGAGGAAGTGAACTCGCTTTTTGTTGTTCTTATTCGTATGGTTCTTATTATAATATATTTAATACTTCTGATGACAATAGTTAGTACTTTTAGTGTAAAGTCGACAGATTGATAATTACTTTCCAAATTTTTTTTAGATAAAATGCAGCAAAATGTTTTTGAATTTTGCATTAAGAAATCAAATAATGGTCGAATACGGTACGTAATTGGAATCTTGATATATTTTTCTATGAAAAGGAGATAAATGTGACACCTTATTATTATTATACCAAAATTGCCTAAAAGTGAGTTGGCATTGTATAAACTCAACTGACTTTTCGAATTTTTAAAATTATGTAATTAAAGTAGTTTACAAATGTACAGAAATTACTGTTTAATACTTCTAGGAGTCTTAATATATACAGAAAGCATGTTTTTAAGTAAATTTCTTCACAAGAAATCGCTAGAATTCGCTAATCTAAACACTTTTAAAATAAAAATATTAAAAATTAGATTGTAACAAGAAGAAAACGTTAACTTTGTCTACACCGAAGCTATAATACACTTCACAGGTGCATTTCTTATAGCGCAAAAGGTTTTAAAAAGTTCAAAAAAAGCAGCTATGTACTATAGTAGTCCGATCTAAACAATAGATTTGGAGATTTCTAGCGTTGCTTCGGGCGATAATTCATGCCAAATTTCGTGAGCATATCTCGTCAAATAAACACTTTTCCATAAAAAGACTTAATTTTGATTGATCAGTTGTATGACAGTTATTCTGACAAATGAGGAGCTTCTTGGAGGAAAAAGGATGTGTGCAAATTTCAGATCGATATCTCAAAAAGTACTAGTTGTCGTATATACAGACAGACGGACGTGGACATCTCACTTCATCGCGCTTTTGATTTATATATCATATACATACATATATTTATAATAATACTGAATACTGATTTTTCTAAATTTGAATTTTAAAGAGGCTTAAAATTTTTTTAAAGAAAAGGCATAAATTTAACACATTTTTAGTTATTTAAATTATAATTAAACTTGGAATGGTCCTTTTAATATATAACATAACCTTCTGTCCTTGATTTGAGAATCTTGCGATCAAATCGGTAAATTAATGTATATAAATTGACTAATATCGCTGAGAAGCATGTTTGGATATCATATGTTTATCCTGTATCAATAAATGAGATTACTGGTGGACCTTGTCCATGCTATAGCTATGATAATTGAAAAATCTGTCTACCAGCATCAACATTAAATTGTTTGTTTGTCCTTTCTAAGACTACCAGAAATAAGGGAGGTGCAAAAATTAAGAGAATTATTCTTCTAAATAGCGAAATAATATAAACTACAAAAAATATTAGCTCTTTCTACTTTATATTGCTTGCTCCTGGCAAAAATGGCATATGAAACTTGGTTCTGCTTTTTGTGGATCTTTTACGGTTTAGGACAGTATTTTGTGACTCCAGAAAAACTCCATTTGGATTTTAAATCTTTACAAAGCGTCATTTGTGCATTTGCGATATCTAGTTTTCATTTTAATAATATTTAAGCAATACTTTAAATTTTAAAGGAAAATATATAAAAAATGTATATCTCATTTTGTAAACTTGGCCTTTAAATATTATAATTTGATACTTTTAACCATTATTATTATACTCTGAACAGCGTGTATTAGGTTCGCCAAAAAGTTTTTAACACCCAAAAGGAAACGACAGAGACCCTATTAATTATTGTCCAAGTCAATGGGACAATCTGCGAAAAAATTGTTCAGATCGGACTGAACGATCAAAGTCAAGATAAAGATCTTTTTATACCCATTTTTGCTGCAAAAAATGCACCTATGAAGGGTATTATAGCTTCAATGTAGCCGGGTTAACGTTTTTTCTTGTTTATACAGTTATCCGAGGAAGTCAATTATGTACATACATATGAATATATATAGCAGAAGGATAAGAAAAATATTTAAAACTAGAGTTAAAGAAAATCACTTTCAAGACACAAACACAGTTTTTATTTAGAAAAAGTAGAAAGAAACCACCGAATTAATATAATTCGAAATAAAGCAATTGACATTCAATACTAAAATTCTAAGAATGACCAGGGTAAAACAAATAGAAAATAACTGTTTCTCTAATACACGAAAAGCACGTGTTAAATACAAAAGCATATACTCATGAATAACACAGCTATTCCGCAGCAGACAATACAGGAAGAGCCTACACTTGCAAGGCTTCTTTAATTGCGAAAGCGAATAAAGATATATTTTCTAGCAACTGTTGCATCAATGTAAAATCACTGTGAGGCTTTTGCCAAACCACACTTAATTGCAAAGATCAGTAACAAATAGCATAACTACACTTTGTACTGCATCCTTACCGGTTCTATGTCCTGCTCCATGGTTAAATCGCCAAAAGCCGGCATCTGATTATCGCCTGAATCGTATTCCGAATCTACTGAGTACTCGCTGCCAGCAGTTTTTTTGTATTTCAATTTCTGGTGACGTTGCTGGATACTTTCGAAGTCCTCATCAAATGTTAACGGTTGCGATATGTAACGTATACGTCGACGACTGGATTCACTATGTGAATCGCTACTCGGATTTGAATCGTAAGAGCTGTGATCGTGCAAAGGACTGTCAAAAGATGTGGCCAGCGGACGTACCACGCTACCAACGGCAAAACGTACAGTCGGCTGTAGGGGAGGACCGTGCGTTTGCTCCTCTAGATCGAAATCGTCACTTAACGCGTGTCCTGGAAAATTGGTATTGCGTATGTTATTGCCCGAATAGTCGCTTGGTTGTGCACTTTCCGCCGAAGAAACGACGTCGTCTGCACCACTGCTGCTCGCTGTGGTAACTGATTCGTCAGCTATGTACAATAATGCTGCTGACTTGTCCGCGTAAATGTCACTGTATATGCCGGGGTCTGGAAAAATGACTTTACTCGATGATGGGTGACGAAAATGTGACGATGATCGAGTTTCAGTTGGTGTGGCAAGCGGTGTGCTCGTTATTGTTGGTACGGTCGATGGGGTGTACGTAGGCGGTTGTTGGTAATTCGACAGTGATACATTCGATTGCAAAGAATGCGGAGGTGATGCGGTATCGTCCACCAATAGTTGTGGTGCGACCAACACTTGGTGTTGCTGATTATGTGGACGCGGTTCCTGGCGTTGCGTTTGTTCGGTTTGTTGTAATGGTTTATCGATAGATGCGTGAGACTCCAATTGAAATTGTATCTGCTTTCGTATTGCCTCTAATGTGGCAATTGATGTGTCTGTATTCTGGGTAGGCGCGTCTAGCGCAACTGTAGCGTTTGTTGGCTTCGTGTGGTTTTCTTCAACGGTGTCGGCATTTGCTATAGCAGTTACTCTTCCTTCATTTGTAGTTTCATCCGTTACTGGTGTTGGGGTTGCCAGCTTTGATATCAAGTTGCTGCGACTTGCGGACTGTGGTGTGGTCGCCGACGCAGACGCTTTTGACGTAGCTGTACTAGCTTCGCCCTTTGCACCAAAAGAGGTTAGTACTGTTGGGCTTGGTTTGGGAAAACGATGACCGCGCTGCAATGGATTTGTCGAAGTGTGCATCAATTCAGTTTCAGCTTCTTTGCTTGATTTTGCTGTCGCGCTACTATTGCTTTCAACTGTGCCCGACGTCTTATTTGACGCACTTCTACTTGTTGCTTGATTAGTTGGAGATTTACCGCCTTTCGTGCGCTGTCTTTTGCCAGCAACGGCTGCTGCTATACTAACTGCTCCAAAAGTCGAACGCTGTTCACGTCCCGGCGACGGTGAGTTGAATGTGGCTGCAGCGCGCGTGCTGCTTTTGCGTACAGCGCCTGTACTGGCCGTCGTCGGATCTGCTGTTGGAGGCTGCGCAGTGGTAACTACCCGACTTGGTTTGGCAGGGGCGCGCTCGCTTGGCGGTGTATCACGTGTACTCTGTGTGATAACAAATTTCTCGTCTGTAGTTATTGTTGTTGTTCGGGTGGTAGACGTTTTTTGTACTGTTGCAGCGGTGAGTTTTGGTGTAGAAGTTGGCACTGTACTGCCACTGGTGGTGGCAGTGGTCTTTATTATGGTAACTGCCGCTTCTTTAAGTGTACTCTTCTTCGTTTTGAGCTTCTTCTTCTTCTGCTTCTGGTCCGGTGCACTCTTGGTAGGCGATGCTAAGGCGCTTTTATCTTCTGTTATCGTTACAGGCGTTTGCACGACGTCGCAGCCACCAACACTTTCATAAGCACTTGGTTGCGTCTTATCTTCAATAGGTGTAAGATAATCCGTTTCGCTTGGTGCGCCCGTTACTGCAGTGACGTTAGTTTCATCAGTTAACTGTTTTTCGTCAACTTCTGCTTCTTTTAACTCTCGCGTTGTAGATTGCTGAGTATCAGTGAGCGATATTGTTACCTTACGCTTTTTATGCTCTTCGAGTTCATCATCCGGTAAATGTGCGTCATCTATGGCATCTGCGTCTTCAGCTGGTATTTCTTCTTGACTACACTGTACTAAATCACCTTCCTCATCTTCGTCAATGCTCTTCTTAGTACTACTTGTTTTGGATTTCTTTAAACCGCCGAGCAAAAAACGTTTTGCTAACTTACTTTTCTTCTTGGGCTTGGCGTCTGGCGATGCGGTTGCATTGGTGTCCCCAGTATCTTCTCCGCCGCTAGACAATACCGTCTCAGGCGCCGATACAATCTCACACGAAGGTCCACCAGCTAGCGAACTTTCAGTGGAGGTATCCTTCGAGATGTTATATTTTTTCCGTCCCGAAAGTTTGCGTAATGCCGACGTAAAGCGTGAACGTGCCTTACTTTTACGCCGCGTTTCAGGATCGGATTGAACACATTCACGATTGGCACTTAAACTTTTCCCACTTGTGCTCGCACTAACATTTGGCGTGGCCGCAACCGTTCTTTGAAAATGTCCCGAAGACTTGGTCGTTCCAACTTTTGCTAAATCCAAAGTTTCATCATCCGTAAGAGTTGTTGGTGGAACTCCAATGTTTTGCATATTACAAATGCTACTTCTTCGCCGTTCGCTGTCCGGTCAAAGATTGCGCACGACGTACTGGACGTGCCACAAACCCTCACAAGTAATTGCTTCCCTTGAATCAGTCGCAATGAACAACCGGCTTTTGACACTAAAAACACAACCAATCATGAAATTCCCTCGCGAAAAAGTATTAATCGATTTTGTCGTTTGGTCACACGTTCTAAAAGATTTTCTTTTATGAATGTTTGTACGTTGTATTTGTAGGGTTTCTTCTTATTTTAGCTAACTTTGGCACCATTTGAAAAACTATTAGACACTTTATTGTTCATATTCACAATCAAATCAATTTTCTCCACCAAACAATCACCACTAATTAACACCTTTGCATCCACATTTGTGTATCCTCACACTTCCATTTATATGTATGTTATATGTTTGCACATCCTTACAAAATGCTGGCCACATCAGCATGTAATATTTGTAAATTGCATCATTTTCACTATTCACCGGGTCTTTGCCGCTTGTGTCAGCCAGCAATCTCAGTCAACCACCATTCAAATTCGCACTGAAATTGTTGTGTTGTTCTGTTGGCTTTTATAAAGTTTTTACGAATGTTTAGTGCAAGTGCAACAGCAAGTTGTTGTGCTGAACTGCGCTGAGCTGTGCTATGATGTGTCCGCTAGTCGTCAGCGTAAACCAACCGCAAAATGTTGCAGGTGTCAGCTGGGGGGATGATAACACAACTAATTCGTCTACATACAGCAGCAAGAATCGGGTGGTTTTCATTTCAATACTTGCTTTGCTATACTTTGAGTCTAAGTGCATTTCGGTTTTACTAGACTTTAAGCCTTTCAGCAAACTTGGGTACTGGAGTACACGGTAAAAATCAATGCAGACAACTACTAAATTAAATTTCCTCTGTAAGCAAAAAATGGTCCAAGTAAAAGCTTAAATTATAGAAGTTAAATTTCAAGAACGAAATAAAAGGTTGTGAAAAGTATTTCAACTATGGAAAAAGCAGTGATTATGCTTAAATCCGAAAAAAATGAAAGCATTTCTAGAGTTTAAGGGGCACACCTAGTGTAACAGCCTAAAAAGGGCGCTTTTTGGGAATTAAAAAAAAAAAACTATTGCATCTATTGTTTTAAAGTTAGCTGACCATTCATCCCGGCCGGGACAGTCCGGATTCCGGTCTAAGCGTCCCGGGCTTAGAAATTAAAAAAAAAAAATTAATAGAATTAAATCATGTCGCTCTCTCTCCTTTTATATGTCGCGATTTTCAGTGAATTATAATATGGAAAAAATCGATGACCAAAAAAACTGCACGCTAAAAAAAAGACCTTCATTGCAGCAGTGATTCCGGCTTTCTCCGTGGATGAAACATAAATAAAAAGTTTTCTATTAAAAGATATCGTCCGTAAAATGAACTAGGGTCGAAAAAAAATTTACAAAATGGGGGCGTTTATGAAAAAGAAAAAGTTGAGTTTTACCCAAAATTTTGATTGTTTTTGGCCTGCCCAAATTCGATATATGATCCGGTAGGAAAATGTGGTTTAGAGATGAATTGATAAAGCTAATTGCACCGAGCGGCTATCCTTTAATAGGCTGTAACTCAAAATATCGTTTAAAATTTTAGTATGCTAAAGATATAACATATCGAAATATAAAAACAAGCGATTTATATTAAATCAATCTTGAAATGGCGCAATGCATTGACTGACAAAATCGGAATAGGCTTCTTTAGGAATTTTATTCAATTAAAAGAAAAATAGCCCAATAAAATCAAAATAATTCAAAATAATTCATATTTTTAGTTCACAAATAATTTTTAAAATGTTCTTCATTATTATAATATATTAAGATATCCGTCAATAAAAATCAAATTTTTTACCACTGAAACCTTTGACAAGTTTATTTAAATTATTCACCGGCGGAACTTAAAAATTACAAAATAAACGCTGCTACTTAACTCCATTACTAAAGCGGAAGGCCATAGCTAAAGTTGTAATTGTGGTACTATCACTTGATGATTTGTGGGTTCGAACCCACATAATCGAGATGTAATCCAGAATTTCTTACTTTCTGATGTATCACACTTTCATTAGCTTCTAATATAAATGCAGCAACCGTTTGGAGTCTTCAAATAGGCAGAGATATTCCATAAGTCGGACAAGATCTCTCCTGAGTAGAAGCTTAGCCAAAAGCATCAAGACAAAGATACGAGCATGCCAACGAAATTTTAAATATATCCTGCAGATGATGGTTTTTAGGTATTTCCTTCCGCAGATTTCATTTTATGAGCTGATGCAATTCTCTGAAGCAGATCCAGTTTCGGAAAGAGGACAAAAGTTGACGCCGTTAAATCTGACGATTAGGAAAACTGAGCAATGAGTTGCGAAGGTGTTTCGGTGATGACTATTGTTACTGATGTTCTATTTGCATGCATTTCTGGTATTTTGGTTTGAGTCTGCCGGCGACGCCTTTTTAAAATAACGTTTAAGCTTCGGTTGCCGAGACAATTTTCTTTCCTTTTTTGTTGTTATCGCCACATTAGCAAACTTTCTATGACACTTTATGTCACTCAAATGCTTGTATTCTCAATAATGTACACTCACAATACACCACTCAACAATGATTTTTAATCGAGCATTCCTAACAAATGTAGCTATATCGCTCAAGCTTCAGAGGAATATCAAAAGAAATAAAATTTTGCTGATTTTTTTAAGGTGCAGTCTTAGTGGTGGTAATTAGATGACCAACACTCAACAAAAAATTTGACACGAACTGCTCCATATAAATTGTGCGTGCAAACCAAATCGATTTTAAAAAAAATTTCCTAACTTCGTTAAAGTTTTTTTCACGGCAATAAAACAAAAAAACTGCTGCCAAACATACACAAATAGAGATCAAACTTCATATGAACATAAAAAAAGTTGTACCAATCTAGGAAAATGGACCTGTATCTGTCAAATTTCATCATATTTTACTCATTATTGCTTTCAAATATAGAAATTTAAATTTTCAGTGTACCCTTGCGTAAAAGTTTTACTTAGAGTATGAATTAAAAATACCAAAAACATTTTTTTATCTACAATATACACACATATATATTATAACATATTTAAACAATTGTTTAATAAAAAAACCTCCATAAAATCGCTTTGCAAGGAATTTGAGAAAAAATAATGAGTTAAAAACCAAATTTGAGTTTCACTCATCCATACCGCCTATTGACAATTAGTCTTTCTTTCTGCCTTTTCTATACATAAACATGAAGGTGTCACATATATGTTTAAATATATTATATACATATGCTTATGTATATATTTATTTATTAAAACGCATATACTCGGTATACTCAATTCGGCGTTGCTTTTGAACAATAAAAAAGTGGTATTGAATACATTTGAGAATGATCAAAAAAAGTTCAAGGAATAAGGCGTGCATATGTATATAAGTATGTACCTATGTTTATCAATAAAGTTAATTTAGAAGGCTTATCACATATTTTTTAAAAAATATTTTTTTTAAATATGTATAGTTGTGGATGCAAATCATACATATATTTGTACATATATATGTATTAGTTGTACTAATAAATATAATTTCGTTTGAAAAGACCGCTGTGTGTTGGAAATAATTGACTCCACTGTATGATTATGTAGTTGTCGGGCGATCTTTGAAAATTGCCATTAACATCATTTCTTTGGCGATAAAATGCAAGGTCACTAATCTACTGTGTTGGGCGTGAATATGCAACTGATTGCAAGTATTCAATACGATAGTATTAATCATTGAGAATATTTCCATTTACGCATATATATTTTTTCAATAATTATCTCCTAATTCATAAATATGAAAATACAATAATTACAAATTCAAAAATAAATATACATACATACATATGTGACATTGACACATTCAGGGAACACAACTCATGAATGATGGCAAACTGCATGTTTACCCTACACGCTGGAATCGGAAAGAATTTCACGCTGAAATGTATGCTTAATCATTACATAGTTATGAAATCGTTTTAGAAGCAGGTTATTTTTAACTAGTTACTAAATCATATTCTGGTTGATGATTTCGAAGTGATTTCAAATATCTTAAAGCATTTAAAACCGATTGCAGATTTAATTATAAAGCTCAATTTTCATCCAAATCATTCTTTAGAAGTTTAGAAATTTTATCTTAAATACTTGTACATATATCTTACAGTTTCAGATAATTTTTAAATGTGAGAATAATCCTTAAGCGTTGCCGAACTTCAGACTTTCTATCTGTGATTTGTAGCCTTATATTATCCCACAAAGAAAAACTTATACATGTTCTATATATTTTTGATCTCAGATTACTGATGATCCTACTAATAACTACCGGTATACTTATATGAATTTTTTTTTCAATATAAGTGCTGCCGTCCCCTAGTTTTGATCATACACTTCTTACCCCTAAAAACTTGTCTGGTTTGTGAAACTTTACATGGTTTATTTAAGTATACAAAGCAAGTAAATTTAAACACAATGTAAGTAACTGTTAAACTACTTAACTAAAGTTTTGTAATCAAATCTCTATAATACATGCACACGCCCACTTGTACTGCACGAATAGCATCTTTAGTAACTGAACAGTAAGCAAACTTTGTAATACGGAATTACAGTACCGTATATCACAATGGTATGTATGTAAATATATATAAAAGTAAATACCCCGCCAGAATTCAAAAAGAAATTGCCAATGTTTCATTTACTCTCACATCCTTTCTAAAAATTGGAAAGACGAGACGAAGTGCGGGTAGATAGTAATACAATTTTCTTCTTCCCATCTGATTTAAGAATAATATATATTCATTATATCCGATATAACAACAATAAAGTGTCACACGCTTTTTGTTTTTCCAAACGGCAAAATCTTTGCTGTCAAGCTAGGCCAATTCTGTCCGACAGGGTTTGCCATTTTTAAGAGTACGAGTATTTGCAAACATTGATGCATTCGTTCGAACAGGAACCGATCATTGACGCATAAAGGGCGACAACAGCCGACATTATTATGGCTTCCTTACTAGCATAGCATAACATATCTAATGTTATTTAATATGACAAAATACGATATTTCCGATCACTTATTGTTACTCTGAACGCATGTACTTACAGATATTTGTATACCGCATCGCAAGTGGCTATGTATCATTTCACTACGATTATAGTTAGTTCTTAATGATAAGCAGACGGCTTATGATTGACAATTAAGGTTAGAAACAAGGGAGGCATATATAAGTATGTTTACTTGTATGAGCATAAACATGAGCATATTCTGGAATTTCTTATGATTGCAATAAGCGATTGTTTTTGTTTTGCCTTAGAGCATTTCCAAAATACGCAGTTTGCATATAAGCACATAAGTATGGTTGTATGTCTATGCATAACTGTCTGTAGATAAGATTTTGTATGACTAAAATGTTAAACCACCTACATACATATGTATATTGTAGAAATTGTGTCAGAAGTAGTGTCTCTTATTGAAAATGATTTGTTGTCACCCTTATTATCATTTTAATCGCCAAGCTTTGGAGATTGGTTTAGGAATTAGTACTAAGATAACAAAATGGTTTCCATTGGGAGGGTGGCCTGTTAAGGCAGCGATGCTTTATATAAAATAATTTTTTTTCTACCTTCGCGATTTGAAAAAATCTATTTTTTTTTTGGAATACTTTTAATATAGATACGACTAGAAACATGTCCTACAAAAGATTTGATCTGTAGCAAATATCGATCACCAAACCCGGCTGCGCGCAGTCGATTCACGTTTAATAATTTATCTTTAAAAGCATTTTCTCCAGAGGAGAACTATACACGTTATTTGTAGTCTGTAAATTGTTACTGAATCACAAAACATCACAACACAGACATTCAAATATTCCAAAAAGCTTGTGCGTACACATAACTGGGGTTAAACATTTTAAATAAACAATTATAATTTTTTGGTTTCAAGATTCTGAAGCTGAAACGATTGCCAAGAAGTCGATTAATTAATACACAATATTGATAAATGATAGCGATAAATTACCCCTTTTCTTATAGAATTAGTAGATAGAATTGATTGATAGATTAGTTAACAACAATTTATAGTTAACAAAATCTTGAATAGTTTTTAAAATGATAACTAGGAGAATTTTCGTATATTTTTCTATTATAAAAACATTTAGTTCTGTCTCTCTGCTCTCTTGAAAAAAAATGTGCATGTAGCAAATTGAGTTAGGAGAGAGTAGATGACTGTTTTATCAAAACGGAGTAATTATCTCTAACTTTATTCAATTATGCCAGTTTATTACATTTATACCTGTTGTTTGTTTGATTCGTAGCTCTCCAAGACTTGCATAACCAACAATAATTATAGTAATAAACATATTTTTATAGTTTACATAAGTACAAATGGCACTTTAAATATAAAGAACCGCTAATTACAAGAAATTTCTCGATCTGACCAATAGAATACAAAATCTGCCTAAAATATTGATAGAATTCCCCAACAGCTTGAAAAATTTATGTGAATAACATTAAAATTAAGTATAATAGGTATAAGTACACATAAAAGTATACTAAAGTAATACACGAATTCCTTAACAAACATATACAAGTGCATATGTATGTATGTACACAGGTCTATATATTTTTACATATACACATGTGTATTTCCATAAAATGCATGCCGTTCAAACCAATATAATTCCTTTCTAGTGCACACTTTTATTTATGCTTATACCACATGTATGTATATATGTATGTATGTACGCATGTGTGTACTTAAATTTCTTAGCTTACCACAATGACCCAATCATTTAGTTACCCCAACTTGCTCAATAGTACAATAGTTGATTAACTAATAAATTTATATTTTTAGATGTGGTAAGGATAGACCACAGCAGTATATTAAGTTTCACTGTGGTTACTGCATAACTTTTGCTCTGTTTATTGCAAACACATATGTGAGTGGTGAGTGCATTGTGAAATGAGTTGCGAGTTCAGAGACTTCAGCGACGCTTGACTTATGTATCTACTGATAAATGAAATAATTTGATGGAATTCCATCTCTTAAATGTGTTTTGTAGTTAAGAAAATAACCGTTATATGGGAGTCTGGGGCGATTTTAGCCTTTTTTTAAATGTGGTAATAACAAAATGCGATGTTTTAAAAAGCCTACCACCTGATTAAATTTGAACAACAAAAATGCTTGAAAATCGTCGCATCAGAGAGATAGCAAAGCGTCTCAACATCTCCTATCTATCGAACCCATCTTGGTTAATATTTTTAATATGAGGCGTGTCAATGATAGGTTCGTACCAAAGAACCTGAATCTTTTGTAAAAATGACGTCGAGTAGAGGTCACAAACTTCATACACGAAACTGTCCAACAATCTAGCTAATGGCGCTCCATAAATGAGC